TTTCTAAATTTTGGGGTAAATGGGGACAGTTAGTTTCATGCGTTTAAAGCTTATCTAAATTTTTTTCTGCTGCATAAAATAAATCCTGGGAACGTAAATAACAACTTAACAAAAAATTAACCCGCAAATATTACCTTTTAAAGGAAGAAACTTACGTAATTTATATGAAAAATAGCGATTTTGTCCCCATTTACCCCAACTGACCCTATATATTTATATGGATCAGTTTTTATAAAAAAAGAGTAAGAAATTTATTTAAAAAAATATACCCCATTTTGTACAAAGCACTAGAAACAGTTTTGTTTGAACCGAATGTACCAATTTTTTTCCGATTATTTCTAAATAAAATTTGACTTGAAACAAAAAAATATATTTCTTATATCTATAGATAAACGTTTGGTTTATTTTATAACGAATTTTTTGTATGAAGAAAGAATTTTATTTGAGCTATAAATGTACTTTTTTGTTTATTCAACCAAAAGTTTGATTAACTGTATATATAGCAAATATTATTTGTTAGATTTAATAAAAAATTTGATTGTTTCAAGCAATTTTTTTTCTCAGTTAACATTGTTTAAAAAATTGAAAAACTTACTAATTATTTGAAATTTGGTATCTTAATTTTTCCAGCTTACTGATTACGAAACTGGCAACAGTTTTTTAAAATTAAAAATTGCACCAAAAACCCTCGAGTAATAAGTTTAAAGCGAATCCGATAAATTTTTTGATTTTATTGTCCGTCATATTGGATCCGCCATTTTGAATTTTGAAAAACTGATTTCAAATTCGTAATCAGCAGGGATGTGTCCGGAAACGGAACTAAAATCAATTTTAATTTTGTTCCGTTCCGTGCCAGAGGCATGAAACTGAATTACTTAAGAAATTTGTTTTGTGTCCCGGCACGAAACAAAAATAAGAGGCAATTTTATTTTGTGCCGAGGAACGAAACAAAAATACGAGGTAATTATATTTCGTGCCGAGGTACGAATCCAAAATAAGTGGTAATTATAATTTGTGCCAAGGAACAAAACAAAAATAAGAGGTAACTATATTTTGTGCTGTGGAAAGAAACAAAAATAAGTAGAAATTTTATTTCGTTCCAAGCTCAAAAACAGAAATATATAGTAATACATTTACGTGTCCTGACACGTTACTAATTAGACTCGGATTTTGTTTTGATTCTAAACCCTCTATTCAACATGATACAAACATTTAAATCTCATAAATTCCGAGAAATGAATATTTATCGAATTCTATAGTTTATTTCATTATTAAGATTAAATAAAAATACTCTATAAATTTTAATATATGAATATTAACATCATAAATGAATATTGTACCCTATCAGATATATGTATATTTTTTTACTCAACAAAGTTTACAGATCATTGTACCCGTAAGGGTTTTTGGGGTCGCTAATTAAGAAACCAATATCAGTTTTTTAAAAATTCAAAATGGCGTATCCAATATGGCAGACGAGTTTTAAAAAAAATTATCGGATTTACATGAAACTTATTACTTAGGGGTTTTTGGGTCGCTGATTACGAATCTGATATCCGTTTTTAAAAATTCATAATGGCGAATCCAATATGGCAGACGATTTTTTAAAAAAATTATTGTATTTACATGAAACTCGTTACTCAGGGGTTATTTGGGTTACTGATTACAAATCCGATATCAGTTTTCAAAATTCAAAATGGCGGATTCAATATGCCGAATAATTTTGCAAAATGTCCTAGCCGTAGCCGGATATCTCTACGATGTCCTCAGGATATCTATGGTTATCCTAATTACCGGATATCCCTAGAACGTTCGTAGGATTTCTTGAATATCCGGATGCTGTTAGGGAATATTAATTGAGTAAAAACTCAAAGAATATTTTATGATTACATGTTTTCATGATAGTACCCGGTTATGATACACCCTGTATATATTCAGTCTATATTTATTTTATTTTAATTAAATTTCTCAGAAGTCTTATTTAACATTTAATAGACAGTCAACTGGTTGATAAACAATTTTTATTGTATGCGACTTATTTATTTTAATTATTTACTATACATATATACACTGCCGCTCAATTATATTTACCCACCTTACAGCATATTAGGGCTTTTCAAAAAGTTTTGTATCTTTAATTCTAAAAAAGATGTAACCTTCCTCAAATATTCATCTTAAAGCTTACATCTTTGACTTTAACGATACAAAAAAGAAAATAAAAAAAATGCATTGTTTAATTGTTTAAAATAACAAAAAAAATTTTCATTTTTTTTGTAAATTTCAAATTGATCTTGGTTATGAAGAAATGATCAGAATTTAATTCTCGATACGGCATTTGAAAGCTTATTTTATCACCTTTTCAACGCTTTTTTGAAAATTTGTGTACGATGATTTTTGAAAAAGATATGACCATTTATTTAAAAAAATGGACCATTTTTTTCAATTGTTGATAACTTATGAACAATTGACTTTTGAAAAAAATTGTTTAGAGAAAAAATGTTCCTTATTATGTGTAGAACTAGGAAAAAATAATTAAAATTTTTTAAAAATAATTTTGTTTTTCTCATTTTGACCTCATGTATTTGTCGTAAAAATATATAAGATCAAAATGGGAGAAAAACAAAATTATTTTAAAAAAATTTTTAATATTTTTTTCCTAATTCTACTTATAATGAGGAACATTTTTTCTCTAACCAATTTTTTTCGAAAGTTAATTGTTCATAAGTTATCAACAATTGAAAATTTTTTTCAATGACTGATAACTCGAAAAAAATGGATTTTTTAAATTTTTGATAAGAGAAGAAAAGTTTCAGTTTTTCTTTTACTTTTCAATAATGTTAACAAAATTTTTTTAACAATTTTACAATTTTTTTTAATTATTAAAAATGCGCAAAATGCTGCGCGCGGTGTTTAAACGTTTACTTAAACCAATAAAACTTATCGGCCCACTCTACATTTTTTTTTTCAAAATTTTCTTAGTATTTCCAGGTATGTTTAAAAAAAATTAAAAAAATATCATAGCCAAATTAAAAAAAACTTTATTTGTTTAGAAAAAATTGTTATTTTTTTAATAAAAAATGAAAAAAAAAATTTTTGTTAACATTATTGAAAAGTAAAACAAAAACTGAAACTTTTCTTCTCTTATCAAAAATTGAAAAAATCCATTTTTTTCGAGTTATCAGTCATTGAAAATAGGTCTACATTGAAGAAACTGAAATTTCGAAAAATTTTCAAAAAATAAAAGAAAATAGAAAAAGTAACGGTAACGCGTTAGTCTTTTCAAAAAGTAACTGTTCCCATAGCACATTACTGTTTAGAAAATGTAACGCGATAATTTTTAGAAACATTATCGGTAACGATTACGCGTTACTGTTTAAAAAAAGAATGTTAACGAATTATTTTTTAAAAAATGTATTGGTCACGATTAGCGATACTTTTTACAAAAAGTAACGGTAACGCGTCACTTTTTAAAAATAGTTACAGTAAAGATTGTATGTTACTACATAAAAAAAGTAACGGTAACGCGTTACTCGTTAAAAAAAGTAACTGTTCCCACAGCACATTACTGTTTAGAAAAAGTAATCCTATTGATAACGAGGGGGGCCGGGGGTTATAAAAAGAATAAAACATTGTTAACTTATTTTATGGAGGGCCCCTTATTAATAATACCACCCTTTATATGATACATTTTATTTTTGTCTCTTTTCATTTCTAATGTTGGACATATAACGAATTTGAAAGATAATATCCTTGAGTGCAAGGACACTTAATGTAAACAGGCCCGACAATCTGTTCTCATTTATTGTTGTTTATACGTATTTGGAACGGAATAATATTCTTAAATAATTAATTTTATTCTGTACTTATAGCACGAAAATAAATACCTGTAAATTTTTGTTTTGTACCTTGGCACGGAATTAAATATACAACTATTTTCGTTCCATGCCTTGGAACAGAACTGAATATATAACCATTTTTGTTTCGTGCCTCGGCACGAAACTAAATATGTAACTACTTTCGTTCCATGCCTTGGCACGGAACTAAATATTTAACCATTTTCGTTTCGTGCCACGGCACAGAACTGAATATACAACTATTTTCGTTCCATGCCTTGGCACGGAACTAAATATATATACATTTTCGTTTCGTGCCTCGGCACGGAACTGAATACACAACCATTTTTGTTCCGTGCCTTGGCACGGAACTAAATATGTAAATATTTTTATTCCGTGGCACTGGCACGGAACAGAACAAAAATGGCATTTCCGGACACATCCCTGGTAATCAGCGACCCCGAAAACCCCTGAGTAACAATTTTCAAAAGAATCCGATAAATTTTGAAAAAATGTCTGCCATATTGGATCCGCCATTTTGAATTTTGAAAAACTGATTTCAAATTCGTAATCAGCGACCCCGAAAACCCCTGAGTAACAATTTTCAAAAGAATCCGATAAATTTTGAAAAAATGTCTGCCATATTGGATCCGCCATTTTGAATTTTGAAAAACTGATTTCAAATTCGTAATCATCGACCCCAAAAACCCCCCGAGTAACAAGTTTCAAGTGAATCTAATCAATTTTTAATTTTGTCGTCCGCCATGTTGAATTTTGAAAAACTGATGTCATATTCGTAATCAGCGATCCCGAAAACCCTCAAGTAACCAATTTCAGGAATAATTAATAATTTTTTTTTTAGTTATTTTTTTAAGTTTTGGACAGTCTTAATTTTGAAAATATATATGTCAGCGATGAGCAACGTATGGATTAAATAAATATTTATTTGATTCAAACAAATTTTTTTTTTGAAATAACCAAAAAATTGTGTTAATTCAAAAAAAATGGTATGTTTGATTCTAACAAAGCTTTCCTCTGAGTGTTGTAATTGTTCTTTTTTGGAGTTTTATATAAATTATCAAATTATATTGTGAAACTAAAAAAAAATTTTGAAAAATCATTTTTGTAATAAAATTACATAATTGTGTTCTTATATTTTTGTTACAGAATTCAACACAAACATTTCTCGTGAGTAACTAATTACCTAATATATTCTTAACCTCTGTTATATATATTGTACTTTTTTCAAAAATATATTTCTCGACATGCGCAGTTGTTTTGTGCGCACTCCTGATATGCGCAGATGTATTTTACGCACTGTATAAATGCGCAGATGTCTTGTGCGCACTCCAGACATGCGCATATGTTTTGTACGCACTCTAGACATGCGCAATTGTTTCTTGCGCACTCTAGATATGCGCAGATGTATTGTACGCACTTCAGACATGCGTAGAAGAATGTCATGCTTTCTAAACATGCGCAATTGCATTTTTGATGTATTTCTACATATACAAAAGTATTTAAATTCACTTAATTTCAAAAATACTCAAAAGAGTATTTATTCTTATTGATTTAACTACTACAATTGAATAATTATCATTTAGTTTGGCATCCATTATCGATAATAGAAAATATGAAATAGTACGAATATACGTGAGAGGATGAAGCATTGCAAATCCGTATATATATACAGAAGGGCCAATTAATTTGAGATCGAGACTTGCCTCTCAGTATATATATATATATATGCCTGTATGTGTGTGTATTTGAAAGCGTTCTGCAGATGCATCACGAGGGTGGAGAGTCTTTAACTTGAACTTCTCTAGTGAATCTACAGAAAAAGAAGCTGAGAGAGAGAGAGAAAGTCGAGTGAGCCAGCTAACATTTTTTTCCCTCTTTCGAGAGCAACGATTCTCAAAAGGTTTCCGGGACTTTTCCCGCATTCCCGACTCTATCAGCCTCATCGTCGTCGTCATCGTCGAACTAACGCTACTTCAAGGTTCCTTCCTTCCTTTACCTGCTTACTGTTTGCTTTCCTGGAAGTGGATCGCTTGGCTTGCGTTCTCGTTTCCAACGGAAACTATATGGAGCTGATCGATTCCTATGTTAGTTTCCACGAGTTAAGCTCACTACGATTCATCATGTACTACGCTTCTTGCCAACTTCGATATTCCATGTAGAGATGAAAAAACAAAACCAAAAAAATGGATCATTATCAAAACAATTTCTACATTTTCAAAATATTTTTCTCTTTTTTCTTTATTTTGCAAAACTAGTTATCTTTTTTTAACAAAATATTATTATAGACATTTAAATAGATAGAAATAAATTTTAACTTAACTGGTTAGGGCCTACCCAGTTTTCCCTGTTTGGAAAAATGTAGATAAACTTTTTTAAGATTACTATAGTGTTTTAATGTTTTTTTTTTATTTTAGGCATTTGATTAGAATTCCCGGATAAAATCCCAAATAGGGAAAACTAAACAGAGCCCCATTAGCACTCTAAGCATGCGCATATGCTCTATACGCAATTTTAACATACGCAAATGTTTTGTGCGCACTCTAGATATGCGCAGATGTTTTGTACGCACCCCAGACATGCGCAAATGTTCTGTACGCACTCGAAGCATGCGCAGATGTTCTGTATGCACTCTAGACATGCGCAAATGTTCTATACGCACTCGAAGCATGCGCAGATGTTCTGTATACACTCTAGACATGCGCAGATATTCTGTGTCTACTCCAAACATGCGCAGAAACTCCGTTCACACTCTAAATATGCATAAATATCATATGTGCACTTCAGGCAAGCGAAAATGAATTGTATGCACTTTAGACATAAAATTCAAAATCGGGAAAGCCGAAGAAAAATTATTCAGTACTTCATCAGGCTTAAAACTTTATTTTTCATTTTTAAAGAATAAAAAATATTTTTCACTTCAATTATTAGTGATTTTGTAAATATTTTTATTAAATAAATTATTTTCTGTAAAGAATATTGCTACATATATAGTGAAATGTGGAGGAATTTGATATATTCTTTTTGGTGTGCTTGCGATGTAAATTCGAGATGTGTTGGTAATTTTAACAATGAGATGAAAATTGACATGGTGACAGTGTCAACTTCCCTCTCTCTCTCTCTCTCTCTCTCTCTCTCTCTCTCTCTCTCTCTCTCTCTCTCTCTCTCTCTCTCTCTCTCTCTCTCTCTCTCTCTCTCTCTCTCTCTCTCTCTCTCTCTCTCTCTCTCACTCCAACACGAATGCGTTTTGGAACAACCGGTGAGGTCATCTAAAATTTGTCTCTCCCGCGCGCCGAAGGCCAAAATGCACTCGGCTGCTCAATAATAAAGACGCATGAGTATGCGGTGCATTAACTTGAAGTTATATGGACAGCATTGTCGTCGGTCCGCCCCACGGACGACGGTTCATGCGCGACGCTCTCGAAATTGCCCATGTTTATTTCAACACCTTGGTTATACGCGGTTAATCTTAACTTCCTTGGCTTTAACAAAATACTGTAGCGCCACACAAAAATGAAACAAAAAAAAAAAATTGAAGTTTAAAATTTTAATTTTAATATAATTTTTTACTTTGAATTTTTATGCTTGTTCCTTTCTTTACACTAAATTATTTAAAAGAATTGTAAAGTATCATTAGGGTGTTAAAATTTAAATAATAATGTCGGTATTTTGTTAACAGAGACAAAATGTAGTGATAAAATTCAAAAAGAATATTCCAAAGATTTGTTAAACAACGTGGCTGTGTGGTTAAAGTACGCGGCTTGCGTCCCAAGGGACCTGGGTTCGATTCCTCATGAGTGCGAGATTTTTTTTCAGTCTTATACACTGAAAAAAAAATATTCTAAAATTTAGAATACACACTTGGCCGTCTATTTTTAGAATATTTTATACTTCAATCCAGTATGAAAATATTCTAATTTTAAGAATATTACATACTAAATTTAAGTATAAAATTTTTCTAAAATAGGTGCCAAGTATATATATAATTTTAGAATTTTTTTTTCGGTGTAGTATTAAGTCATGAAAACTCATATTTTTTTCCGTATTTCATTCAATATTTCGTTGAACGAAAAAAATTTTATGTCCAGGAAGTTCATTTTTGGAAAAACTCAAAATTCCGGGCAAAAATATCAAAAAACTTTTTTTATACGTCTAAGTTTAAATTTGAAAAAAAATAATTCTGTGCTAAATTGTGCTCATTTGTATGTTAAAATTCATTTTTGAAAGAACTCAAAATTCCGGGCAAAAAAAACCAAAAAACTTTTATAAATCTAAAAAGGTAATGTTTAAAAAAAAATATTGACGTTTTTGGGTCAAAACAATATTTTTTACAAATTTTGGTCAAAAACTTTTTTTAATTTTAATCTTTTACATATAACAATGGTGAAAAAGTCGAGTTTAATTGGGAATAAGTTTTTTAAAAAAATTTAAACTTTACAGGTCTAAAATAAGTTTTTTCATGTGTTTGCCCGAAATTTGGGTTTTTCAAAAATGAATAGCACTTGTTGAGCACAATTCAATGCAATATTTGCTTTTTCTTAATTCTACACGGAAAAAAAGATTTACCTGGAACAGCGAAACGTTTCACTATAGCATAGCGAAAGTTTTACTTGTTTCAGTTAAATTTTTCACTATTTCTAATGAAATCTTTCGCTGATTCAGGTAAATATTTTTTTCCCTGTAAACTTAAAGTCGTCTAAAATAAGTTTTTTAAAAATGTTTTTGCCCGGAATTTTGAGTTTTTCAAAAATTATATTTGTTTTCTTAAATTCTAACTTTACTGCGGTCTAACTTCCTGGACATACAAATTTTACTATTGTTTGAAGTAACTTTTCTTGAATAAAAAAAATAGTTGCTCAAATAAAAAACTGAACTAAACTTTACGACTGTTATAATGGAATATATACAGATAAATAAATGAATCTCTCTCTCAAAAATCAAACATCGTTAACTATCCTATACTATTTTTTTTCTTGGTTCCTTTTTTTTTTAGATTTGCTATTTTATTAATCACTCTTTAAATTTTTTTTATGCTTTAGCTCATTACTCACACATTAACACAAAAAACTTTCTATTTATATATTAAAAGGTATATTTCTAAAATATATTTTTTACACATAGAGTGTATCTAATGGATTATTTGTCGAAAAATTTTTGAGAGTCGGTTTTATATACATTATACATACTATAAATAGAAGAAGAATATAAAAGTTGCGTGAAATTCGTAGTAGGTAGAAAACTCGCGAAAGAAAAGAAAAGGAGAGAAAAAAAAAAATATATATATATAGGGGCCAAGGGTCGAGAGTTGAAGGAAATGTCGAGGGGTCGTTAATTTCTCGATCGCCTTTTTCCCCCATTGCCCTACTATATATATATATACGTGTGTGTACCATAAAAACGACGCGTGTACTTCCGTATAGTGCGCAGTATCATTTATTCTCTGACAACGATAACACAATACGTTCACGAAACTAGGCCATTCGGAAAAGAAGAAAACGAAAAAAAAGAGAGGGAGGAAAAACTTTGCCGAATTGGGTTAATAATTTTAAGTCCCTTGAGACAGTTTCTTTTTTTTTTTTTTTTTTCTTTACACGCGTTTCTTTTATGTTATCGATCGAAAATTACATAGTTGTTAAACTGCCAATTATTACATTGTTTCCTTTTATCTGTAATTACATTGTTTCGATCTTTTCTTTTTAATGACTCTTCTCTATCATATATATTTATTTATATTTCGCTCGCCAACCCCCATTACTTTCCATTTTAAGACTAAATTTTTTAAAGGCTTGTAAATATTGAAATTATTAAAATTTTACCTAAATTTTGAGGTTATGTTCGTTTCTTGGTTAGGGAGGGGATTTTACCTAAATTTTAGGTTATTTCTATCAGACATTATCTCAAACCCAGCGGCAATCCTGGGGACTTGCGGCTATGTTCACAGTCAAAATTAACATAAATTTTGAGGTTATGTTCGTTTAATTGTTATGAGGGGCGATTTCCTGACAAAATTTGAGGTTATGTCTGTTGAACATAGAAGTTCTGTTAAATAAAAATTTTGTACTATAGAAAATCGGTTTAATAGAAATTCTGTTAAAAAAATAATTCAAATAAATAGTAAATTTGTCTATAAATGAATTTTCGATTAAGTAAAAATTTTGAACTATGAAAAA